CAGTGTGCTTGATGTTGTCAGCCTGAAGGATGCCCAGGTATTTGTAGTGATCTTCTTCACCTTGGCAGTCCTGAGTCCTGTAGCCCACTTGTCACCAGATGTCCAGGAACTAGAACACCTAGTGCAGTCCTTGTTGATCCAGGCAACGACTGATCCAGTATGGGTTTCTGTAAATTACATCTCACCATATTGTTTATGGGAGAGACACTCTTCGTCTGGCTCCTCTGATGAGACCTGTCCAGTTTGGTTGAACCTCTGGCATAGCTCTCATCCTCCTTTGAGCATGGAAGCCCCACAACCATGTCATAATAGTGCCTCCCTGGAGATGATGATGATGATGATGATGATATTCTACATTGAACAAGGATTTCAGTTCCAGCCCAACCCACAAGCCATCTTCATATATCCTTTTTTTCAACTGGACATATATTGCAATAAAAGAACTGTTAAAAACTTATACTGTGCTAACAATTTTAAAAGTAAATACTCACTTAATATTTCTTGGTTTATTATAAATTGATTGCCATTTGGAAGGTACTTTTATATTACTATGGACTACTGGTCGAATCTGCAAGAGACAGAGAGAATCCAGAATCTGAAAGGCCAGTTCATCTTTGCTCCATACATCTCTACAACTGTGGACAAGTTCAGACTTGAATCCGAGTACCTTTCTAATTATTCGAATTCTAACTAGAACATATTGCAAAAAGCATTCTCTTAGAATTAAACAAATATTATCCAGGACTCTGTTTTGATTATCCAGACTGAATGACACTCACAGTTCTTACACATAAAGTTCCATGTCTTGTTGCTTTATAAATTGCAGTTGCCTTCAATTTTTAAAACATTCTTTTCCATCAAAACCCATAGTTCCATGCTTGCTGCTATTGGCAGCAGAGACTAGATGAGGAGAGAATGGGGGTGTGGGGGCGCTACTATGAAAGAGAAAGCTGTTTCTTGTGCAGATGCTCAGTAACAAATGCTGCTCGGTACTTCTGCTGCTGAGCTCCTGTCACTGATTGAGTCAGACAAGATGCTGCATCTGCAGTCAGAAACAATTCTGGATGCTGGTAGTTGCTGAATGCAAGAACATTCACTATGTGTACAGCATGGGTAAGGGAGAACAAAAACAAATCAAACAGGCTGGTAGACAAGTATACCTCTGTAGCTCCTCTTTATGAGCTGTGTTAAAATGAACCTTTTCTATGCTGTTCTTTCTTAGTTTGTATGGCTGTCTGTATAGGCCCACAAATCACTCCCTTGGCCATTTTTCTGTATATATCTTAGATAACAGTGAGCATGGACTATCACCTCATCTACCTGTGGGGCCCTAAGGTGAAAAACAAGGGACCAAGCAAGGGACCTGTTTTTTCCTACTGTTTTTATATTATTTTATTTGAATTGTGCTCTGCAGAGAATGGTCAGTTCATTGCAACTTTTGCTCAACTGGAAGATTCCGAATAAGAGTTTTGTACATTCACCTGCT